CCTTCAGCCTTCCCAGCACTGCACAGTACAGAGGCAGTAGTTGCCGGTCAGGGACCACCAGTTCTTCCCTTTCCTTTTCTGCCTGCCTAGCCTGCCCAACATTTTCTGTGTTTGGCAGGGGTGGACGATGGTGCTGACATCCCACGGGAGCTGGTGGTGGGGATCTACGAGAGGATCCAGCAGAAAGAGCTAAAATCCAATGAGGACCATGTGACTTATGTCACCAAAGTGGAGAAGTCCATAGTTGGAATGAAAACGGTGAGCACCCATAACCTTGCTGGCACCCACTCACCCCTCTCACCCCCACCTCCCTCACTGGCCCTCTTTTCTGCCTTTTTCCTCCATGCCCCTACTCCTCTTCTGTAACACGTTCCTTGCTTGTCTTGATGAATTCACTCCTTTTTCTCCAAACACCTTTTTTCTTGTTATCTCATTCTTTCCTAATTTTGGGGATCTCCTTGGCCAGAGTTTACAGTATCTGGTGCGGTAATTGTTTGCCCAAGAATCTCATTGCAGGTCCTGCCTGCCAATGCAGGTCCTGCCTGCCAATGCTCCAGTGATAGCCCTGCAGTGTTTCAAACTCTCAGGTCTTGTGAGGGTGTAAGAAGTGGAAGGCAAAGTGATAGAAAACAATTTCACCCATCTGTCTCTAATGAGTTCCCTAAGGATTGCTGGGGTTAAGAGACTGTCAAATGCAGAGACAGCTTCTTTAGCAGTAACCGATCTGTAATGCAAAAACATACATACTGTTTACCCAAAATGAGCGGAGTAATTTCTCAAAACCTTCTCGAAAGCCTTCTCTCAAGCTTTCTCGAAACCTGCAGATGTCCAGTGGGGTGAGAGAGGATGAACACTCACCCAGTGACTGGAAGCTAGAGGTATATGAAGATAGGAGATAAGATATAAGATAGGAGCAAGAAGGTTGCCTATAGCTTGTCCCACTCCTGTGATGTATCCAGATCACAAAGGCATAGCTCCCCCTGCTATTGCACCAGCAGGAAAAGTGATGGTGAGGAGTGGTGGTGAGGAGATGATTTGAGTGGGCAGAGTGGGGAGAATTGGCTTGTGCTACTGTCACTGGGCAGGGTTGTGCAGGCTGAGGGTGGGGGATAGCCACAATGGCACCTCCCTCAGCCCCTGCATGCTCTTGTGGGTCTTCTGCAGGTTCTCTCCGTGCCCCATCGCCGGCTGGTCTGCTGCAGCCGCTTGTACGAAGTGACTGATGTGAACAAAGTACAGAAGCAGGCAGCTCACCAGAGGGAAGTTTTTCTCTTCAATGACCTGCTGGTGGTGAGTGTGCTCTGGCAATTAGGCACTGCAGTGATAAAACTTGCCCTGATTTCTATAAAGAAATCTAAAACCAGTCCATAACATCCATTTCCCCCCTGTTCTAAGGCCAGACCACCTCCTGGTCCATCAACGTTGTAAGACACAGCTATGGATCCTTCACTGTTAAAAACCTACCAAATCTCAATCTCCTCTAACCCTTGAAAAAACAAACTGTCACATCCCACAGCCATCCAAGCAATGTCATTGCTCTCTCTCATGCCTTTGCCAGCAGGGAGGTTCATTTCATGAAAGGCAGATTCATTTCTTTGTCTGTTTGCACTATAGTAGGCAGAGCCCTGCCATGGACTTTAAATCTTTCCTGCCAGACACTTTAAAACCACTGCCTTCTAACATTGCAAAGGCTGTAGGAGAGTAGATATTACTTACTGGAACGCCAAATGTGTATAGTACCTTTAAAAGTGTCCTGCTCCAGCAACCTTGCAACTGAGTTCAGACAGATACAACGGAGGGCAGAGGTATGTTGAGACTGGAAAGACACCAAACAAGATGGAAGTTCTGCTGAATTTAATGGCAAAATGAAACTGTGGATGTTGCAAATGTAGGGCTAAGACCAAACCCTTTTGTAGGAGCAGAGGACAAGAGAGCTTTCCACACCTATTCCTCTGTACCCATTTGTACAGTTGTGAACCTGGGGAGAGGGTGTGCTCCTTGCTATCCCTCTACTCCATGGGCTAAATCGTAAGAACTAGTGCTGAGGGAGCGAGGGCAGCACAGCATTCACATACGCTTTTGTTCCCAGCTCTAAGGTATTTCTGACAGGTTTCCCTTTGCCTTTTGATCTGGTCCTCGGTGAAAGAATTACCCTTGCAAAGTCAGAAATGTGGGCATCAAAAAGCCAGCACCCCTGGGAGACAGAGAGCTGAGTGAGCCCCAGGGCTATGCATACAGAATTTCAGAAGTGTTGTTGCAAGTGCAGCACGCCAGGCAGCTTTCTGGGCAAAGAGCCTGTCAGTCACCAAGTGTTACTCACATGTACAATTAACAGAGCTTGCAAAAAGCTTTTTTGCTTTGAGCACTTTGCATTTTCTTGCCTCACTGTTCCCCAGCACCCTACCCAATGATGCATCTCTTCCTCCAACAGATCCTCAAGCTTTGCCCCAAGAAGAAAAGCTCCTCAACATACACATTTTGCAAGTCGGTCGGCCTGCTAGGGATGCAGTTCCATCTCTTTGAGAATGAATGTAAGTCCATTGCTCCTTGGTTGCCTGGACGGGTTTGGCAGGGAAAAGGAGAGGAGGGAGGGGGCTGTGTCACCCAGTGTGCGTTTGCATCAGAAGAGAGATTAAAAGAGGAGGAGAGACAACTGAGGCTTGGTGCTGAAGAGATCACTGTGCAGGTACAGTGTGATGAGAAGAGGCTTCTGGTACCTCTCACTAGGTCTGAGCACCTGCAGAAGGGCTGAACTTAAGCTCATTGAAGGATCTGGCTTGTCATGGTGGCAGAGAGCGCACTAGTGGGGAGGAATGGGGGAATCAATCCCCAGATACATCTCACTATGCTCTCAGGAGCCATCTGTAGGTGGAGAACCTCATTGACAAAACTGCTGCTGCTGCCTTTAGCCCCTCTCCCCTCATGCCCAAAGTCACAACTCCCACCTCTACCTTTGACATTGATAAAGACTCGGGTGCTGCTGCCGCCTTCCGGCACTGTGCCATGCTGTGCCATGCTGAAAGCTTCCCAAGACAGAGGCAGAGCCCTTGGAACAGCACCCACCAAAGCATGGCAAGAGGCCAGCCCTAGTCAGCCTGACCTTGATGGTCTGGGAATAGAGCCATGATGTGTCATGACTGAGGCTGGTTGTGTGGTGGAGGAGTTCCAGAAACAGGCAGGCTTCCTGCTGGCATAGGCAGAGGGGCTACACAGCAGTCCCAGGCAAGCATGGCTGATGCCCATTGGGGTTTTTGTGAACACCTGCAGAACATGCTGCAAGGAAGGAAGACTGTAGCAACACTGTGGCTATACTAAGTTTTTTACATCCTCCCTCTACCCTATTGGCAGTGTGAGTCACTCAACACCCTACCCTTTGCAGCATGCAGAGGCTTTCACATCCTTGCACGTACAAAGGACTCATTCATAAATGAGCATCCCCAGGAGGCACCATCAGAGCTGGGATCAGCTTTCAGGGGTATAGTGACTATCCTGGGAGTGCCCAAGGATCTTCTGGCAAAGGCATCCTGTTGTGTATCCCTTGCAGAGACAGAAAAGCAGATGTCCTAAAGAGCTTGTGAACTGAACAGATGAGACAGACACAGGGTGGGAAAAGGGGCCTGGGACACAAACAGGAGGAGCTGAGGGCTGGCAGCAAATAGCAGGTTGGTCGTTTGACTTGTTTGGTAAAGACTGATAAAGGAAGAGGGTGTGGAAGGCAGGCAGATACAGGAGCAGTGGAGGAGAAGAGAAAGCAGGACAGGGGAAGAGAGAAATTAAATGTAGTGAAAGATGAGAGGGGAGGAGAAAAGGGATTGAAACCTCTGGCCATTGAGCAAAAGGTAGAGAAAGTCCAGTCACAAGCAGAGCAAGTTCTCTGCCCACTCTTGTTCTCCTGCTTCTGTTGGCTGAATCTCCGGCCACCACCTCCCTGCACCCAACCTGATCTTTAAAACACCAGGCCTTTTGTTGCAATATTTTCACTCTCCGGGCATGTCCTTTCATTTACATTCCTGTGTGTTTTGCCTGTTGGGGAGTACTAAGCAGAGACTTACAAACCCATATCTTTCTCTTTACTGTTCTCTCTGCACAGCATAATGAGTTCCCCACCCATGCTGTGCTAACACCCCTGCCATGTTCTCTGCTGATGGAAGTAGAGAATGGGGAGAAGTCTTGCCCCTGTGGGTGTTAATGGCTGTTCTGGCTTTGACTCCAGGAGCCAACGTCTCCTGCTGCATCTCCCACAGGAGAAAAAAGTGTTGTTAGCCTCTTACATATACTGTTTACTCCTCCACAGATTCAGAAAGGCTTTACAGTCCTACCTCCCTGCTCAGGTTGCCAGAGCCAATGTTGCACTAAGTGTACCTAAGAGCTAGAGTTTTCTGGTTTTGGCAGTGCTGTGGTGCTGGTGACACTTGCCTTGCTGCTGCAGCTTGGCCATTCTGTTCCCTTGCAGGGATGCAACACTGCAGGTTCCCACAGTTTGCAGTGTCACAAACTCCAGGTGTGCCATTCCTTTGGACTCATGTTGGAAACTCTCTGTCCTGCAGAGGTACCAAAGCAGCCAACTACTCCAGCAGGCATGCCTAACGCCTCTTTATTTTGTTGGCACATCTTTTTACAGATTACCCCCATGGCATCACACTGGTGACTCCAGTTTCAGGCTCAGAGAAGAAACAGGTACTACACTTCTGTGCTCTGGGTGCTGAGGAAATGCAGAAGTTTGTGGAAGATCTGAAAGAATCAATAGCAGAAGTGACAGAGCTGGAGCAGATACGAATTGAATGTAAGGGCCTCTAATACAATTCACACTCCAATGCCATCACACTGTACGTGCCGACAAGGGAGAAAGGGTAAACGAAATGGGTTCTTCAGGAATAGGGGGAAAGAGGATGAGTAGCACAAGTCTGCACAGGATTGTTCTTGTGGTCACTGACAGGGTGAAAAAGCAGTCAGGCTCTGTGACCACCCACCAGCAGGAGAAACGGAAGAACTTAACTACTTATGATGCTTACGAAACAGGGTGTATGATACAGTGGCCTGGAATGGTGAAGCTTAGACTGTGAGACCCAGAAGACTCTTCTCGATCGCATACTCCTTTGACTATGCAGATATGATTTGTAGATAGCTGGGAAGTACAGGACAGGTTTGGTAGCCTTAGCAGAGTTGTCCTTCACTCCAGGAATGTATAGGGGACAAGCAGTCTGTACTGTGTCCCTCTGTGGCCTGTCTTACACAGATTAGATGTCCATGTAGCCTTTGATGTCCTTTCCATGTACAAACTGATGAGCTAAAGTAGCTAGCATCAGTGGTCCGCTCCTGTGCAGCAATAACCTATTCTGTATAAATGCAGCTCATAGAAGGTGCTCTCCAGTTTCTGCTTTTTCTTGGCTGTTCCTCTCTCCCTCCCTTCTTGACACTCTTTTTGTCATTTTCTTGCATTAATTCTCCTTGCTGACTTCCCATATTGCTCCTTCAATATGCTGGTGTCCTTCCCTCCATCCCTCTCCTCATTCACTTCTGTATGTCTGCCTTGCAGGGGAGCTGGAGAAACAGCAAGGGGCAAAGACTCTCTCATTAAGGACCAATGGAGCGCAGATGGAACTGCAGTCTAAGCAAGGCTCTCCAACAGGTAAGAGGACACCCAACTTCTCTTGGTCAAGTAGTGCTGTCTTTGCAAACGTGTTCTCACTGATACCTTTGAGAATAACTGCAAAAAGAAATTACCAGTTTTGTATCCTCTAGCCTTGAGCAAATAGTGGAAATATGAGAACATAGGCATTCTTCAAATACTCTGGAAAAGCCATTAAAGTCTCATTACGCAGTCTATAGCTGTAACATCTAGCAAAGAGGTATTACTGGTGGAGCTGGAGAACCAGACCCACTTTTTCTTCCCTGAACTGATGCAACACAGTAACTGCACTATCAACGTCCTCCAGCCTCTTCACCAACACTTTGGACCAGCCTCTTTGTATCGAAGGCTTTGTGTCCATTCATGCCTTGGCTTGTATGCCAGCAAAAATCAAGTGCAGAGGTGAGTGGCTACCAACTCACTAGAATGGCACTGAGATCAGGACCTAAGGATAGGATGCCAAAGGGGCCTCCCCCTACCCCACTAAGCAGCTATCAGGTTGCAAGAGGGTCTGGATTTGTTCTTGCAGTCAAGAGTCTTGTTTGGTCCTGTACCTCTCCCTTTAGCTTTCCAGTCCACACTATGAGGGACAGCTCTTGACTAGAGAGGTACAGACCCTCATAAGTGAGATCTTTTGTTTTATTTCAAAGGCAAGAAGGATTTGGGGGAGAAGGTCTCGGACAGCACAGTGGAGGTAAGTAGAGTGCAGAGCAGCTGAGGTAAGTAATCCTCTCTCACTTCAGCTCTTCTCACATTCTCTGTTGTTTCTTTTCTCAGGTTTTAATCAATGCCTCCCCAGCCAGACTGACAATTTTACCAATTTCCAGAGATACAATTAAAAGTTACTGCTAGGACGGGTAATACAACTTTCAAATCCAAACTAAACTTCAAAGCATTTTCAATCCGTTTTTATAACTGTAACATCCCTCATGGACCAAGCTCCCAAACGCTATAGACTAACCCACCCCACTGCTTACGGGGAGACTGAGAACCCCACTAAAGACTTCCCTGACATGCTAACTCCATGCAGCATCACATGCAAATTCCCCGCAGCCCAGCTTTCCTGCACAATCTCTGCAGCCCTGTCTCTCCATCCCCCCTTGAAGGGGATTAAGCATGGCCTTTGTATACCAGAGACTTTCCCTAGAGCTTCACCTTCCTAGGTAGGGAGCTTGGCTGTCCTGTGTGCATCTATCTTTGCAGGGATGTCTAGCATCCAGTGGGTTGCCTGTTTCTTCACAGACACCCATACTCCCACTGCCTGTGAGGAAACAGGAAAATATGATCTTCACACTGAAACTCTTATCTACTACTTCCTACACTCTCCCTGTCTGGAATATCTCCATTGTCCTGAATTTGCCTTTTTCCAGGGTAGTTCCTTCCCCTCTTGCCATAGTATATTTACTTGAAGAGTTCAGTTTCTCTGTGGGGAGTGGGTGCTGCTTCTTTTCCCTGAAGAGTACCCCATTTCCCTGCAGACACCCCTTTCCTGGGGAAGGTGCCTCTCCCAGCCAATTTCCTGTTCCTGTTGGGAGGAGTGTTTCCTTGTGGAGAATGGCTTCCATGTATCCTAATGTCATTAGCACTTCATGGCCCAGCAACCAGCTTTTCCTAGGGGATGTTCCACTGCCTGAATAAATACTGACACAATATTATATCCTGCTGTGCAGTGAGGCTGAGCAACCTCCATGCTTGAGTAGGGACAGACAGCTCATCCTTGTTCCAGCATGGTGGGAAGCTTGGACACTCCACAGCTTCTCCTTCTCAATTGCTGGTGCTGCTGTCCAACATGCCAGACCATCAGGGCACCCCCACTGTCCCATCTGTACCCCTGCCTAGCTGGAAGTGCCATGCCAATCTGTGAGCACTTGTTTCTACCCAGGGTTTGACACTTGTCTGACATTCTGTTTTGAGCTGGCAACTTTGGTCTGGTTTGGAGTCTCCATCAGCCCATGTCCTTGCCAGGAGGAACTGTAACTTCATCCACCATTCGGGAAGCACCATTTTCCTGCTGTGCTTCCCCCCTAGGGACCTCCAGTCCAGGCCAGCTCCTCCTTTTCAAACTGGACTCAGTGAGCTCCCTTAATTGACTGCATTATCAGCATCTCTCTGTGGGGACCCTGATGACCTCCTGCTTCCCTTCCCCCTTTCAGCTGCCCAAGTAATACTCTGCCAGCAGATGACCATTTCCATTTCTTCGAGATTATCTAATCTGCTGCCATTTCATCATGAATTTCTTTTTTCATTGTATGAGCTAGACGGGCATTTTTTCTTTCTTTTTTCTTTTTTTGAAAATCATTTCCTTTCACTGACAAACCATCAAATGGATCAGAGGGAGCTGCCTTTTGCTAGTGTATGTCAGATTTCTGCTTTTTCCTTTGTAAACAGATTAGCCAGTCATGTGGTGTACCTTCCAACTCAGAAAGGCAGGGAGCTGGGAAAGGCTTGAGTCTCTCTGTCTCTCTCTGTCTCAGATTCAGCTACCATCATTTTGCTGAAACGTACAACCTCGATTATCTGAAACCTTGCTGTCTGGTTCCCCTCTCCTTTTTGCTGGTGGGGACAAGGGCATGACCTCTGAGGTCTGTTCATTACCATGAGAATTCACGGACGCCTCCACTCGTAGAGTTGACTTGCGTTCCCTGTGCCGTTTGGATAATCAAAGTTGCACTGCATTTGGGAATGCCGGCCCTGCCACCTCTGACATGATGGAAAGGACAGGGGCACTTAGGCCTAGATGGGGACGATGGGGCTATTGGGGGGGGCTGTGCAGCCAGGGGTTGTGCCTGTTCTTGTTTTCTGAGTGGGGGAGGGTGTAATGCATGTGAGGCTGGCTGGTGGTGGGGGTTCAGGCCAGCCAGTAGCAGCAGATGGGAAAAGTCTTGTAACATTTAATGCTTCTTTGGCTGTTTCTAAACTAGGTGTCAATTCACAACAGGCTTCAAACGTACCAGCACAACTCCGCCCTGGGGCCCGAGAGTGGAATGCAGCCCAGCATGCGTCTTAACATGCCACGGGAGCGGCTGGAGACAGCACTGGTGCCCTCGCACCCCGCCTCAGCGGGGACACTTGTACAGTGCCAGCAGATTGTCAAAGTCATTGTCTTGGACAAGCCGTGCCTCGCTCGAATGGAGCCGGCCCTCAACCAGACTCTGACACGCTATGTCACCTCCGATTCCTGCACTTCCACCCCCTGGCGTGGTGCGGGCAGTGGGCTCCCTGGGACCCCCATGAAGCTGGTCCATCAGCCTCCCCTCCCACCTCCACCACCTCCCTACAACCACCCCCACCAGTATTGCCCCCCCAGTTCCCTGCTTCAGAGGCGCAGGTACTCCAGTGGCTCACGCAGCCTCGTGTAGCCACACCACCAGCACCAAAACAGCACAGACTTCCCCGCTTCCCTTCCCCACCACCTCCCGGGGACCCTTTCTGCCTACAGAGATCTAGTTTGTGATTTATTTTTTAGTAAAAGAAGAAGAAAAGGAAAAAAAAAGCTGACTGACCTAACTCTTACCCTGTCTCCCCTCAAGATGATGCTAATTGTGAGGAGCCATCTATAGGAACTGCCAACCTACATGCTCACACATCCTCACACCCTGTCAGCCCAGCTGGCCTCCCGTGCTCGTGCCGTCCCCATGTAGCAGTTTTCTGCCCTGTTCCTGAGAGGCTTGATGACCTGCTGCTTTATAGGCACTGTGTCTTCCGTTTGCTACTCCTCGACCTCCTTCCCTGCCTTGCATTTACCTGGCCATAGGTTTGTACCCACCCCAAAACTTCGCCAGCCTCGGAGAGAAACGGACTCACCCGTGCCAAGGACCAACCTTGGGGCACTCCCGGGAGTGGAGTTCCCCCTGCCCACCGCTGCTGCTGCCTGCTAAGCTGGAGCTGAGAACTTGTACCACTTGCCATGCTTTCTCCTCATCGTTCTTCAAATATTATCTCCTTGCAGCAGCTGGTTCCAAGCGAGGGAGCGCACGAGTGAAAGAAAGCTCAAGAGGAGAAGAGACTGTCCTGAGCTGCAGTACAACGCAAAGACGGCCTCACTCTGAACACCAAAACTCTTTCTGTTGTTATATTGGAGCATTGTACCAGAGACCTCTGCTGAGACCTAGCAGACCTCATCATGTGTAAATACACCTGTATGGTAGCGTATGTATGGCGCATGCTTACTAAAGGAAACACCAAGCAGTTCTGAGGGAGCAGAAGGGAGGGATTAAGCCCAGGGATCTTCCTGGAATGGATGAGTACCTTTCCAAAGAGATGGCACCAAGAGGTGCCCTCCCACCTCAACACACACACACACGAAGATTGTCTTCTCTAGCATAAAACAGACCCACCTCTGCTGTCCTCCTTCTAGCTGGTTGTGTGTTTCCTGCCCACCTGCTTTTTTATATTTTGAAAGCAAAGCCAAGTGTTCACCTTCTGGGGGGTGGATGATCCCTTCACCTGGGTTTGTCCTCCTGTGTTAGAGGGAGGGGGCTTTTTAGACACCACCCATGTGAGGTTCTGTCTGTATCTCTTGCCTGGCTATGCTCTTGCCTCCATCAGCCCTTCCTATAGGACAGCTGCCCAGATACCAGACTCCAAGGCCTCTTCTCCTCTCTCCCTCCCTACCCCAGCTTCAAAGTGAGGGGAGGGGGAGATGCTGAGATAGACATGACAGCTCAGCTCCTCTGCTTTATTTGGGACATTGATGTGACGGGAGACGGCATTAAAAATGGGCTATGGATGTATTTTTAGAAAAAAAAATCTCTTTGAGCAGTAGGGAGGAGAAGGTATTAATTAGCTTAAAGGCTTTGGTCTCACTCTATCTCCCTTCGAGGCTTAAGAAGATCAACTTTAGGATTTTAAAATAGGACAGAATGCCTTTTAGGGCCTTTATTTTATTTTAAGAGGGAAAGAAAGAAATGCTCTTCCTTCCTGTGTGAGGCTGAGACATGAGCACTGGGTGCTGATGACACAGCTGTTGGGTGAGGAGTGGCAGGAGTTGTTGGCAGCGGTGAGGATGTGCAAAATGACAGGGGAAGAGGGGCAGTGAAGACAGATGCAGGAAATTCTTTTTTTACCTGGTGAGGTAAAAGCCACACAGCAATTTCCTTAGGGATTATGCCAGTATGCTCATCTCTGGGGCTATTGCCAGTGAAAAAAACCCACAGTGCGTCAGGGACTGGCTCCCCTCAGTGCTCTTTGGATGTCTGCTGGCTCTGCTGAAATGTTCAGATGAAAGAGTTCACATATTTGACCTGGGCATAAGCCCATCTGGGGTTAGGGAAGCGGACAGAGGCTGGGGTGAAGCCCTCCAGGGCAGGAGCCTGCTCACTGCCAGGTCCCCTTATTTCTGAGCCTGACCCATGTACCCAGGTGCCAACAGGTCTGTGTAAGTTGTTTGCTTAGCTGTCTGGAGCAGGGCACTAGGCTGCTGCTTTTATATGCAATAGCAGATGTACTGACCAGGAGCCAACAGGCATAGCCTCAGGGAGGACTGTGGAAGCAGAAGACAGAAAAGATTGTAAGAAAACCCTGTAAGAAAAGCCCAGTCTCCCTCCAGACCAGAGAAGCTTTCTTCTAGCCAGCCCCCCAGGGCAGTGAGGATGCTCCATATCTCAAAGCTGGGCCCAGGAAGAAGTCCTCACCCCCAGCCAGGCCTCAGCCCCTCACCCTGCAGCCAGCTGTGAGGCACAGCTGGCCTGATCTGCTGCTGGCTCCCTCCAGGATGACACCCCGCCACCTCAGGCAGCTGGGATCTCATCCAACCTGCCTGTAGCTTCCTGGGAAAGCATACATGCAGCATCTGCCATTGGCTGGTCAATGTAGCATGTGGCTGCCATCTTATTTTTACTCACTGCTGCAGTGAAAGGGGTGGTATCCAGGAGGCACTGGCACTGCCCTCCCTTCTCAGTGGTTACTTCACTGTCTGAGAGGAGTGACAGTACTTGTTTGTTTGTTTTTTCCCAGAGTGCAGTGAGCCACTGAAGGTCTCTGTGTATGTTAAAATAAATAAATTAAATTTCACTTGACATTTAACAGGAAGTGACAACGCAAAAACCTTAAGGTACTTGATGAAATAATTTTTTTAGATAAAATATTTATAACAATATCTATGAAGTTCCTACAAGAGAGGTTTGCTGCTTTAATAATTGATTGGGAGAGCTACAAAATGTAAAGAAGAAATAAGGAAGCTTGCATGAGACTCCCTTCTTCATGCTGGATGAAGGATGGAAGCAAGTTAACTGAAGTGCCGAGGTACCTGAGGCACAGCAGGATCTCAGGGTGAGTTGGCTCCATTTCCCTGACCTTGCAAAGGCTAATGCTAGCCTTGAGCTTTGGACAGAGAAGCAAACGTAGATAACCCTTGCTATCTTCTTGCCTGCTGGCTACATCTTCTGTCAGGTTTAGCTGGAGAGACACCAAACCACTCTATTTCAGGTTGTCGTGGAACAGGCTGTTCTAAATTCTGCTGTGTAGCTGAACCCTTCGGACTTCACTTCAAAATATGGACTTTTTTTTTCCTTTGAAGGTTGGTCTCGAAGGATGACAAGCACTTTAAAGCATGTCTACACTTCATGTGATCTATTGTATTGTCTGCTCCCACAGCCCTCCCACACGCAAGCAAGACACACAGACTCAGTGTAGCTGTAGTACTTTGAATAGACACCCTTGCACACAGACTGATCATTGACAGGGTGCAGGCTAGAAGGAACATGTCAGTGACAACCTAATGAAGGACAAGATGTGTGCACAGCTCACCCGGAGGGACCAGCCCTAAGAAAATTCACCAGCTCTTGACAGCAGCAATTCTGATCGTGGACCTAGCACAATCTTTCAGGTGATGGGATCAGGCAGGAAGCTGCTGCAGAGATTAAAATCGACCTAAATAAACCGGTGGCTTTTTGCTGCTGAATTCATATCCTTCTATATTAAAAAAGGAGGAGGGGAGAGAGAAAAGAGAAACGCACTAAAGAGCATTCTGCAATGAGTGTCAGGTACTCAGTGGCCAAAAAAG